GTCACAGGCAAACCTCACCAGATACAAGAAGATTGAAATAATACCTTGTATCCTATCTGATCACCATGGACTAAAGCTCAATCTCAACAACAACAGAAATAGCAAAAAGCCTACACACACTTAGAAACTGAACAACTTGCTACTAAATGACAGCTGGGTCAGGGAAGAAATAAAGAAATAAATAAAAGTCTCCCTAGAATTCAATGAAACTTAAGACACAACATGCCAGAACTTATGGGACACAATGAAAGCAGTGCTAAGAGGAAAGTTCATAGCAGTAAGTGCCTTTAAGAAGAAATTCAAGACAGCTCATTCAAGCAATTTAATGGCTCACCTAAAAGCCCTACAGAAGAAAAAAACAGACACGCCAGAAAGAAGTAGACAGCTGGAAATAATCAAACTCAGGGCTGAAATCAATAAACTAGAAACAAATAAATGTATTCAAATAATCAATGAAACCAAGAGCTGGTTCTTTGAAAAAAATCAACGAGATAGACAAACCCTTAGCCAAACTAACTAAAAGGCAGAGGGACACTATCCAAATCAACAAAATCAGAAATGAAAAGGGGGACATAACTACAGACACTGAGGAAATCCAAACAATCATTAGGACTTACTTCAAAAGTTTATATGCCACAAAATTTGAAAATCTAAATAAAATGGACAATTTTCTTGATTGATTCCACGTACCAATGTTGAATCAAGACCAGGTAAATCAATTAAATAGTCCTATATCCCCTAAGGAAATAGAAGCAGTCATCAAAAGTCTCCCATCCAAAAAATGCCCAAGACCAGATGGTTTCAGTGCAGAATTCTACCAGACCTTCAAAGAAGAGCTAACACCAATAATCTTTAAACTATTCCACAAAATAGAAACAGAAAGGGCACTACCAAACTCATTCTATGAAGCCACAGTCACCTTGGTACCTAAACCTCACAAAGACCCAACAAAGAAAGAGAATTTCAGGCCAATCTCCCTTATGAACACTGATGCAAAAATACTCAACAAAATCCTTGCAAACTGAATCTAAGAACACATCAAAGATATCATCCACTATGACCAAGTAGGCTTCATCCCAGGTATGCAGGTTTGTTTCAATATACAGAAATCCATCAATGTGATCCACCATATTAACAAACTGAAATAAAAAACCCACATGATAATCTCCTTAGATGCTGAAAAAGAATTTGACAAAATCCAACATCCATTCATGTTTAACGTATTGGAGAGATCAGAGATTCAAGACACATATCTAAACACAGTAAAGCTAATATACAGAAAACCTATAGCCAGCATCAAACTAAATGGAGAGAAACTTAAAGCAATCCCACTGAAATCAGGGACAAGACAAGGCTGCCCACTCTCTCCCTATCTCTTCAACATAGTTCTGGAAGTCCTTGCTAGTGCAATAAGACAATTGAAGGAAATCAAAGGAATAGAAATTGGAAAGGAAGAAGTCAAAGATCACTATTTGCAGATGATATGATAGTATACCTGAATGACTCCAAACATTCTACCAGAGAACTACTACATTTGATAAACACCTTCAACAAAGTGGCTGGATACAAAATTAACTAAAAAAAAAAAATCAGTAGCCCTCCTGTATAGAAAAGACAAAAGGGCTAAGAAAGGAATTAAGGAAAGAACACCCCTTCACAACAGCCACAAATGACATAAAGTGCCATGGTGTGACCCTATCCAAGCAAGTCAAAGACTTGTATGAAAAAAATTTCAAGTGTCTAAAGAAAGAGTTAGAAGAAGATATCAGAAGATGGAAAGATCTCCCATGCTCATGGCTTGGCAGGATTAACATAGTAAAAATGGCCATCTTACCAAAAGCAATCTACAGATTGCAATTCCCATCAAATTACCAACACGATCCTTTACAGACCTGGAAAGAAAAATTCTCAACTTCGTATGTAATAACAAGAAACCGAGAATTGCTAAAACAATCCTCCACAATAAAAGATCTTCTGGAGGTATCTGCATCCCCAATCTCAAGCTGTACTATATAGAGCAACAGTAATAAAAACTGCATGGTGCTGGCATGGGAACAGAATGGTGGATCAATGGAACCAAACAGAAAACCCAGAAATAAACCCACACACTTACGGATACCTGATTTTTGACAAAGATGCCAAAACCATACAATGAAAAAAGATAACATCTTCAACTAATGGTGCTGGTCTAACTGGATGTCTACATGTAGAACAATGCAAATAGATCCATAATAATCATCCTGCACAAAACTAACGTCCAAGTGAATCAAAGACCTCCACATAAAACCAGACACATTAAATTGGTTAGAAGAAAAAGTGGGGGAAAGTCTTGAACTCATTAGCACAGGAGACAACTTCCTGAACAGAGCACCAACAGCACAGGTTCTAAGAGCAACAATCAATAAATGGAACCTCATGAAACTGAAAAGCTTCTGTAAAGCAAAGGACACCGTCATCAAAACAAAACGACTGCCTACAGATTGGGAAAAAATCTTCACCAACCCTTTATCTGACAGAGGGTTAATATCCAGTATATATAAAGAACTAAAGAAGTCGAAAAGCAACAAATCAAGTAATCCAATTAAAAAATGGGGAACAGAGCTAAACAGAGAATTCTCAATAGAGGAATATCGAATGGCAGTGAAACACTTAAAGAAATGCTCAGCCTCATTAGCCATTAGGGAAATGCAAATAAAAATGACCCTGAGATTTCACCTTACACCCTCACAAATAAAGGAAAAATGTATTTAAGAAACTATCCAGCATACTAATTATTAGATAAGAAATAGCACCAGATCCACCCAGGACCACAGCATCTGAGGGTTCTGGGTACTGGTCAATGTTTTGTAATCTGACAGAAGAAAAGGCAAGGCTGATTCTGGCTTAATAAAAATTAAAATTAAATCAGAATGGCTAAGATCAAAAACTCAAGTGACAGCACATGCTGGAGAGGTTGTAGAGAAAGGGGAACCTTCCTCCACTGCTGGTGGGAATGTAAACTTATACAACCACTCTGGAAATCAATCTGGTGCTTTCTCAGACAACTAGGAATAGTGTTTCCTCAAGATCCGGCCATACCACTCCTAGGCATATATCCAAAAGAGAATCAAGTACACAATAAGGACATCTGCTCAGCCATGTTTGTAACAGCTTTATTTGTAATAGCCAGAAGCTGGAAAGAACCCAGATGCCCCTCAACTGAAGAATTGATACAGAAATTCTGGTACACCTACACAATGGAATATTACTCAGTAATAAAAAACAAAGAAATCATGAAATTTGCGGTAAATGGTGGGAATTGGAAAAGATCATCCTGAGTGAGCTGTCCAAGAAGCAGAAAGACATACACGGTATATACTCACTCATATAGACATATAATATAGGATAAACCTACTAAAATCTGTACACCTAAAGAAACTAATCAAGAGGGAGGACTCTGGCTAAAATGCTCAATCCCCATCCTGAAAGGCAAAGAAGATGGACATCAGAAGAAAGAAAACAGGAAACATGTTAGGAGCCTGCCACAGAGGGCCTCTGAAAGGCTCTGCCCTGCAGACTATCAAAGCAGATGCTGAGATTTATGGCCAACTGTTGGGCAGAGTGCATGGAATCTTATGTAAGAAGTGGGAAATAGTAAGATCTGGAGAGGACAGGACAAAATCAAAACATCTGAGCACAGGGGTCTTGAGACTGATACTCCAACCAAGGACCATGCATGGAGATAACCTAAGACCCCTGCACAGATGTAGCCCATGGCAGTTCAGTGTCCATGTGGGTTACATAGTAATGGGAACAGGGACTGCCTCTGACATGACCTGATTGGCCTCTTTGATCAGCTCATCCTGTTGGGGCGCAGCCTTACCAGGCCACAGAGGAAGACGATGCAGCCACTCCTGATGAGACCTAATAGATTAGGATCAGAAGGAAGGAGAGGAAGTCCTCCTTTTTTAGTGGACTTGGGGAGGGGCATACATGGAGAAGGGGGAGTGAAGGTGGGATTGGGAGGGGAGGAGAGGGGGATTCATGGGGTGGATACAGAATGAATAAAATATAATTAATAAAAATTAAAAACAAAAAATAAGTAAAGAAAGAAAAGAAAATGTAATTATAAATTTTTTTTGGTTTGCTTTCTATACCTGGACTAAAACACTATCAACAAAATACCTTGTAGAAGAAAAGGTTTATTTGGTTTACAGGTTACAGTCCATTAGCAGGAGAAGCTAAATAGGAACTGAAGGCAGGAACATGCAGGCAGGAACTGAAGCAGAATCCATGAAAGAATGCTGCTTACTGGCTTGTTCTTTATGAATTGCTCAGTTTGCTTTTCATAAAACCCAGAAACATCCGACAAGGTGAGCTGGGACACCCCATATCAGTCAGTAATCAAGAAAAGTCCCTACAGATTTGCCTATAGGCAATCTGATTGAGATATTCCTGGATGACTGTATCTTGTTTCAACTTGACAAAAAATTATACACGAAAAGAGGGAAATGATGTAATTATATTGGAAGCTCACAAATAAAGGAAAAATGTATTTAAGAAACTATCCAGCATACTAATTAGTAGATAAGAAATAGCACCAGACCCACCCAGGACCACAGCATCTTAGGGTTCTGGGTACTGGTCAATGTTTTGTAATCTGACAGAAGGAAAGGCAAGGCTGATTCTGGCTCATTTTTTTCAGAGGAAGAATTACAGGAAGGCATGTCAATAGGAGCAGCACCACAGGACTGTATGAAGGCACACAGCTAGATGGGAACCTGAAGGGAGTATAACCTTGAAAGAGCAGCCTCCAATGGTCTCTCTTTATATATGTACATACAACACCTTGAAGGTTCTACACACCTCCCCAAGCAGCACTCCCTGCTGGTGTGAGTATACAAATACATGAGCTTGTGGTGGATACTTTACATGCAAACCCTATAACCTGCAGATGGACCCAAGCTTTTAATGGCTCTGTCTGCTTTGCAAGATGTCTTCCCACCTGTAGCTCCCAGTATTTATCCACAGTCACTAGGTACAACACCCTGTTTGCTCCATCTCTCTGCAGCCAATTCCTGGCAGCATTCCTTGTGTGATATCCTGTGGCTGTGCCAATTTTCCGCTAATATCACTAAGAGTATCACCAGGACCAGCCCTGCCGTACCCATCCGGATTGAATTCTCCATCATGTAATCTTGTTTCTTGGAGTCTAGAGACATAATTAAAAGAAATAGGTGATTGTTGGCCACGATCCATTCTATCATAATACTACATCTGTGATACAGGGACTCATTCCCATGTCCACTTTCCAAAATGTGGTTCTAGTCCTCTTTAATGAGCTCATATATTCATAAACATCACACTTTTAGGTTGTGTGGGGCAGAGGGAGGCCCTGAGTGAGAAAATGTGGTTCCCTGGAAAGGATGTGATGTGAGGAGGCTGAATTTTGTCTTTCTCACCTCACTTGGTGTTTTCATTGAACAACTAATTATTTCTTCAGAAGTTCTAACTTTTTCTTCATACTTTATTCACCCTACATGACAATTTATATTCCCTTAAATGCAGCAAAATATACCCCCCCCCGTTTCTGCTGGGCTATACATCTCCACAAACAGCATCCTGTGCTGGGGAGTGAGTATTCAAACACATAAGCCTGTGGTGGACCCTGCACACTCAAACCTTGTACACTGTGGATGGACCCAAGCAAGACTTCAGATAAAAATAAAGAAATAGCTTACTGAGTATCATTGTCTATATAATGTCACATAATAATTGGGAATGACAAGTAAGAATAAGGTTGAGTGGCAGTGAAAGAGAGTCTTTATAAGCCTATGTTTTTAAGGCTGTAATACAATATGCTTACAATATTCTCATGTTAAAAGAGGGTTTGCATAACATCATAAGTATGTGAGACTTGGTTCTATTGATTCTATTTCCTAGTCTATTGTATAAATGATTTCTCCCTTTTATTCTTTTATCCTGATTATTAACATGTGTTTTAAAATTTAGGTTGGTTGAGTTCATTAGAGCTTTTCTTTAGAGAAAGCAGGTCCCGTATCATAGAAAGCATTTCTTATTTCATGGTCAAGATAATTATCCTCTGTGGTCTTTCACTGGATACATATTTGCAGTTAGGTTTCTAATCCAGCGTTGATTTTTGTGTTTAATTGTACTTTTTTTCTCCTGTATGGAAACCAAGTTGTCTCTATGCCACTAATTGAAAAGGCCTGTCTAGCTTTACAGCATTGCAGTCCTCAGCTACCACACTGCATATAGGTCGTTGCATGACTAGAGTGGGGATACCTTTTCTCAAAAGATGGGCATGAGAGACTAAATGTGGTCAGCAACCAGCATTGGTTTCCTCTGCCAGAAGTCTCACATTTCCCCCCTCCTTCAAGAAAAGTGTTATGTGTAAACAACATAATAAATGAGTCTCATGGTTCAGTCTTTATATTCTTTCCTTGTCAATCACTCACAGTAGACTCCAAAGTGACTTTAAGCATTGGTAAGTTCTAACTTACTAAGGTACTAAAACTACAAATAAAACTGATGCACTGCAGTAGACTGTGTTTGGCTCTTCTGTCCTAACATGGATCCCTGATGAGCTGTTCTAAATGTGGGCCTTTCCTTTATCAATAGACTGGGAATCTGGAGGGCTGATGCAGCTGTTAAAACATTTGCTGCTTTTGCAGAGATCCTGAGTTTAGTTCCCAGAACCCACATTGGATAGTTCAGAATCACCTATAAATCCAGCTCCAGGGAACCCATCACCCTCTTCTACCCCCCACCAGCACTACACACACACATGCACACATACACAGGGAGAGAGAGAACACACATAGATCACAGGTTTCTGAAGGGTACACCCTGGAAGACTTCAGAAAATATGTGAAAGTGTAGAGTAAGTGAGAAACCTGTTGGTGTAATGTTCTTTTGAAATGTATGCACCTTACCCTTGTTCATTCAAATGCTGATTTCTCCCCTCTCCTCTCTGTTTCAACCCGTATATTGCATTGTGATACTTAGTCTAAGCATCCTGTCTCAACTGTGTGTAAACAGGCCAAAATAAAACAACTAGCCACAATGTTGTGCAAGGGAGGAGCCAGAAGACAGGAAAGAGGGGAGGAGCCAGAGGGTAGGAAATGAATGGGAGGGGAAAGAGCAAGAGGAGAGAACTAGGAGAGCAGAGCTGGAGGACAGATCTTGGAATTATGTGGAGAGATGGCCTGGACCAAAGACATCACTAAAAGCAAGTATAATGTGGGAAATCTAAATGTTAGGAAACTATGAGAGCTTGGAGGTTTAGGATGAAGTAACTATTGCCCAGCATTGTGTTCTAAGTTAACTAAATAAACCCAGTCTCAGTGTGATGATTTGGTTTACAGCTGTTTAGGACTAACAGCAGGATTACCAGAGGATCATTATTAGTAAATATTAATCACTGCTTACAACAGAAGCCCCTTACTTTTTACTCTTCTTGGGAGAGAGAGCCTTTACTGCAATACTCATCTATCTCAGGACACCTCTTCATACTCCCACCTAGACACAGCCTTGGTGTAGAACAAAGGTCTAGGTTGTGATATCTACCTGTGACAATGAGCTCCAGTGCATCACTGGGGGCTGACCACACATAGGGGCTGCTGCTGTGCCAGCCATAGCACCTGTAGCTCCCAGTGAAGTTAAGGTTCACAGGACCAAGTTTGAAATTGCCTTGATACTCCTTATGTTGGTGCCATGGTGTTGAAGCTTCTCCCTCCTTGGCCAATGAGAATCTGTTGAACAGGTTTTGTGCTGAACTACACTTGAAGGAAATGATCTCTCCTGGTATCAACATATGGCTTTGATCTGTGGAGAGGACAGGTTTGTTGTACAAGCCTAAAAGAGTAGAGAGTGAGTCATTAGCAAAATTTTGTTCTTTAAAATATATTTTCAGGGTCTGGAGCAATGGGTCATCAGTTTAAAGCCCTGGCTGTTCATCCAGAGTCATAACTATAACTCCAGTTACACAGGATTTGATGCTCTTCTCTGGCTTCCAAAAGCACTACATTCACATGGTGAACAAACATCCACACACAGAAAATAGTTACAAAAATCGGCTGATGGTGTTGAAGAGATGGCTCAGCCGTTAAGAGCACTGGCTGCTCTTTCAGAGGTCCTTAGTTTCATTCCTAGAACCCACATGGTGCCTCACAACCATGTATAACTGAAGTCCAATGGGATCTCATGCCCTCTTCTGGTATGCAAACAAACATGCAGAACAAAATATTCATAAACCTAATTAATTAACAAAAAAATCAATTGAGTAAATTAATTAAAAGTTGTTCTCTTTTTGCTGTTTAAAAATTATTTTCAGCTGTGTATTTGTTTTGTAAATGTAATCTCGGCACTTGGCAGGTGAGGCAGGAAAGTCATGAGTTAAGTTTAGCATGAGTTAAGTTTAGCACAAGTAGAAAAGTTATGCAATCAACCTATATGTTTGTCTGTGGCATGCAATTCACAACAGGGTTGATTTCCACTATGAAGACAAAATTAAGTCATTGGTATGAAAATGGATACAAATGGAGATTATTATATTAAGTAAATTAAGTCACTCAGAAAAAAAATCATGCTTTCTCTCATTTGTGGATCATAGACTTTTACATAGATACATAAATTAATGCATGACTATATGACATGAAAATAGAAACATTACTAAAAATAAACAATACCAACAAGAACAAGAGAAAATTTATTATTTGTGATGGGAATTGAATCCAAGGACTATGTATGATATGCACATGCTGTACTACTTTTTATGTATTAATTTATTAATTTAGGTTTTGAGTCAGGCTCATGATTCTTCTGTCTCAGCTTTGAGTGCTGAGATTATCGATATATACTAACACACCAAACTTCTCTTTCCATCTGCTACTCTCCTCTTATTTCCTCCCCTCTCCTTCCCCTCCCCTCCCCTTCCTCTCCCTCCTCT